AGAAATTGGTAGGGTGCCAGGTACCTTGCGGCTGGCGTGTATTCGCATGGAAAAACTTCACAAATATTGTGTGACGCAAACAAATGTACTTGAATTTCAGTGCTTTATAGGACCTTGTAGTTGAAAGTTAATATAACATGTTAAAAAAAACAAACCGACAACCGATAGAGAAAAAAAAGATTCTAGTGGCAGCCTCGTCACGGCCACAGGCAAGCGGAGTGTAAGGCAGCTCTATATGGCACGACGACTAGGTAAAATTGCAAGTCGATGAATGCAGGTGGCTCAAAAGCTTGCATTGTGTTATAACCTGGGAAATGCCTATGTTCAGTATTGAACTTGTAAAGGGATGTATTGATGATGATGATGATGATAATAATGATGAAAAAGTCTTCTACTAATAAAGACGTTAAAACTCGATGCAATTAATACGTTATCACGTTTTGTTTAATCATAATTTGCGCAATCATTGTACTTTTCCAATGCTATTTTTATAGCGAAGCACTAAGCCAACGGCACAGAATAATTAATAGTACTACGTACCAACGGTGCAAAAACTAATGACGCCTACTACGCTCCTTAATTATTTACAAAGTAAAATCGATAGATGTAAAAACTGTAAAAGTATTTCAAAAGAAATAAATCTTCACTACATTAATTATAAAAAAAATATTGCCTTTCGAAAAAAGAACGTAAATAATTTATTAGTTTAGATACTTAGTGTGTACATCAATCCGTACAGTGTAGGTATACAGATTAGTGTGCGTGATAACTGATAGAGTAATTAGCGTGGAACGAGCGCGGATCGTCAGTCGTGCATGATAGGCATAGCTCCCGAATTACAGTGTCAGAAAATCAATCACCTCATTTCGTCCTGCGGGTATCGCAAGAAGCTAGTATGGGAAATGCCAGACAAATTTTATGGCTTTCCAATTTAAAGGCAATAACTTAAAATATATGCCGCACGCGCCACTTTCTGCGACAAACGTCCCATCAAACGCTTTGCACTCAGGCCTTAATAGGCTAATGCTTACAGGCTGTAAGAGCTCTCCACGAAGACCTTAACCTCAGCCTAAAATTCATGACAAGTCCCCGGCTTGTCAATGTTAAAAACATACAAGTGGTAAAATAAAACATTTTGTACAACTCAAAAACTACTAGTCAGACCTTGACCAATATGAGACCACATGAGAAGCATCAGCTTTCATTTTTTTTATAGTATAGTGTGACAAACGAGCACACAGTCCACCTGATGGTAAATGGTTGCTGTGGCCTATAGACATCTACATCTATCCTCAATAAAAGAATAAAAACGTAGATGCGTTATCATCCGTGAGGACTAAGAAGGAATGCTTCTTTTCCAGTAAATAGGGTCACCGGTTCTCTACATTCACCAATCGAAACACAGCAGTGTCAAGCTGCTATTTTACGTATCATGTGAGAGCGTGGTCCTTCCACGGTCGAACCGACCCATTGGTGCTATAACTATACTACTAATATAGCTACAGCATGGAATAAAATAGAATAAAAAAAGAATCGGTAAGCCTAGAAAAAAGTTGTGAGGTAACACAAATTTAAAAAAAACATAGTCGAATTGAGTACTCCTTTCTTTGAAGTCGAAAACCTGATTACACGGTAACTATAAAATTTTGGTTCTACTGTACAATTTTACGCAAAATAACACTATTCCACATTAATTATCCGATTAGTCAAGTAAGTCATAACAAATGGATCATTAAAATCCGGCGCCAAGTCTTGCGTACATCGTCTGCTATCTATATCTATATATATATATAGATGAAATAAAATAATGCGGAAAGCCATTACAGCGCGAAGGCTATTGCCGGGATACATTAAAACTGTTCAGTTTACAATGGTCTACAGAGCTGCGGGCGTCGCTAATTGAAACAGGATGTGCTAATTACGTTATTAATTATTAAATATATTCGTCAATGCCACAGTGTAATTAAAAAATCAAAACAGACATCTTAACTTTACTTTCTGCTACTAATGGCCATAATTTAAAATTAAAAATTTTGTACAGCCGACTTCAGTATAAGTTATTAAGAATAACTCAAAAACTATTGGTCTGACCTTGATCAAATTTATATGGGACCACACGAGAAGTACCAGCTTTCAAACAAAAAAAAGAATCATCGAAATCGGTTCACCCAGTAAGACGTTATGAGGTAACACACATAAAAAAAACATACAGGCGAATTGAGTACCGTCTCCTTTTTGGAAGTCTGCAGGAAATACTCAAACGCTACTCAATTTTAAGATCTCGTTCAGTCTCGTAGTGTCACAGTCACTTTGACAGCACGAAACTTAACAGCTTGTAGAAGTCAATTGCTGGACGGTGGACACAGACCTTTTTTATTGGTAGTCATATTATATGAGATTGTAAACCTGCCATCTATCGGACACTGTGAAGTCTTCCTTGGGTTCCCCATAATCCCCTCCTACAATACGCACCCATGGTACGAAATGCGGTGATTGATTCCCATAAGCTGCTATCACACGTCAAAGTTCTAAAGTCATCGTTGTTTTTAAAATACAATATTGAGTTACACATAATATAATCTTGTATAAAACAACGGGCCTAATTTAGGAGACTACGACGCTAAGGCATTTAAGACTATGATACAAAACTATTTGAGAGTTTATAACAATAGTGAGTATACTGTGTCGACTGGTTTTGTTTCGTTTCCTCGGTAAACAATTTGGTATATAAATATGCCATATATAAGATACATATAAGATAGATTTATAAATAAGTACACAATACATTAATAAGGCAATAATCCACTAGGTATACAAAAAACTGAGAAACCATTCAGTTTAATTAGAAACATTGACCTAGTTTAAAAGCTATAACAATTAACAAATTATTTAGACCTTACATCATCAAGCATTCATACTATACAAAAGACTAAACATCACTTTTGGATACATAAGTTTTATTTACTTATAAATTGATCATAGATCTCTCCCTTAGATTGAATCATAGGGGCGATTTTGTCATAGTTGCCACATTTGTTTTGTTTTCATTATTTGGACTCGTTATTAGAAAGACACTGCTGTCCATCTCCTGGCATGTTTCCCTTTGTCGCCTCTTACGAAACCAACGGAACGATATGGGGTAGACGATATTCTCACAACACCACTACACTGTCAAGCTTTGTGCACGAAGCATTATTGCTTACAATATTGTATTCAACTCAGTAAAAATAACACTAACAGTTACTTCTAATTAGGTATATGGTATATTCCAAATAAAAACTCCAAATAAAAACATGAACGTATTCGAATATAACGTTGTATCAACATTTCGAAGCAACCAGTGAAGAACTTTCGGTGATTTAAGATTTTGAACATATCGAATTATAACATTTATATTTATTGCAAATAAATTAAATCTTTCAGGATATAGAATTTACAGTACTTAAGTTTTATTTCCTTATAAATCTCATTGTGTGCCTGTTGACATCAAAGACTGGACTACAATTCTGCAGTTCATCGAACGGATGTGAAATGTGAATGGAATTGACTGAGAGCTTGTGGATTAAATTAGTGAATTACAAATCAAATTAAATATGTTCGCTAAATATATTTTTCTAAATGTTAATCCCACTAAAGTTTTTCTTGTATCGTTATATACATAGATTTCACGAGGACAAACATTCAGACCTAGAACAATTATTTCTATACAAATATTTGTTCCGTGTCGAATTCGAACCCGCGGCCCTCAGCGCCGCAATGGGTTGCTAAGCCACTGCGCCACGGAGCCGTCAGTTTTTTTATGTTCGCTAAAATACCAAAATAAATTTATAGTATTTAATAACATAAAAGAATTCAACTATAGTAATCAACTATTAACTTAGTGTAGCCGGGTGGAAGGAAAGGGGGAGATCTCCCGCCGGGCAAGGTGTTCTGCCCGGGGAGCGGCCAGCGCTCCGATTGGTAGTTCGGAGCTATTCTATATATGCTTTTTTTTTTTTTTTTTTATAGGAGTGGGGGCAAACGAGCATGCGGCTCACCTGATGGTAAGTGACTACCGCCGCCCATGAACAACCGCAACACCAGGTTTAATTTAATTTCGGAACTTTGATAGCGCGATTTAGGCTTCGATGTGTTTCGCTTGTGGCGTGACGACAGCGCCGCCACATTAGTAATAAAATAACATGTTCGTCAGTAGTACGAGTACCTTCAAGTATATTATGTCTTATGGTGTTTTACAAGCGTACTTATGTTGAGACTTTAGTGATAAAGACGAAATAAACAATACGTCGCACTTTAAATCCGCCAACACGTTTACTGTCGCTCATAGTTTACTGCTCATAGGTTAGGGTACTCATAGGCTTAGCTGCTAGACGCATTACACACAACTTGCCAGACGCGTGTGACGCAGTTCGAATAAACTGGTTATCACGCGGTTCATTAACGCGCAGTAGTAAGATCAATGAGTGGAGGTAGCGGCAATTCCTACTTTTTTACTAATGAATCTTGGCACCTCGAAATCTATGAATATCTTCATTGATGAAACACGCTTAACATATATGTGTGTGTATATGTTGTGTGTAGATTAAATAATGTTTGGGTAATAAGTTGGAGCGAGCCGCCCATCTCCTCTCAACCGCCGCAGTCAACATTCCGTTGCGGTTGCAAATGGAATGAGAGGTTTCAAACTACTAACAAACATGCGGCCTACCGCACGGTAAACCCTCCGAGTGGTTACAGTTAGTGCTTCGAGTGCTTATTTGTTTCAGGATTTACGGATAGACACTAACCTTCCTTCTGGTATAGTCGGGCGTAAAGTAGTAAAACAAAAGAATACAGCATACTAAACTATCTATGCTACTTACATCACCGTTAACATCCAAAAAAATTTCAATGCTAGTGCCAAGATATTCCTAAGGTCACAATAATATAATGGTGAACATTAAGCATTCACTCCACTGCCGCCTTGTATGTTAAATTGTATGTTAAATACATGCACTAACCTGAAACATATCCGTGTCGGGATCCTCTGTGTACTCAACGATGACCGCTTGGCTGCGGCTGAGCGTGTACGAGATAGAGTGCTGGCTCGCGTCGAGGATCGCCTTGCTGCTGTGCGGTGTCTTCACCACGTAGTGTTTGGAGCGTCGCACTCCATTCGCGGTCGGTCGCCGGTACAGAACAAATTTGCTCCGGCGACGACCACGCTCGCCCGCTGGTAGGTACCCGTTGTACCTGGAATGAACAGTTAATTAGAGATGGAAATGAGACATGTATCAGTGACTTTTGTTAACGCATCTGTAGCCTTTATTTGAAGTTGACTGTAGGTGTCCATGGACTCCAATAGCCACTTTCTATCAAATCGACTGTAAATTCGTTTGTCGAGCACTGCTCTCCTTCGCATTAAAATTAAAATTTTAGACATTTTATCCGAGAAGTTGTTTTTGAAGACTTTAATCAGAGATGTTTTTTTGGAAGATAAAATAAGTTAAACAAAGTTATCTTTATAAACTAGCAACGTCATAAGTGCTTAATATTCCGACGCAATTATCTACAGGCGTAAGGCAAAGTTCGGCGGTGCAAGGTAATTTGATGCTTGATGATATGAAAAAATTAAACTTGAAACATAAAAGTATCTAGTTTATCGAACCTCATAATTGTAATTATAACCCTATACAATATGAAAGGTATTGAAACTATTTGCTTCTCCTGTTTACCTACAGGTACAGTGTCACAGGCCTCCTATTATTTCTGGAAGGGCTATGTAGCAATTTTTTCGCCACGCTATTTCAATGCACTAAAAGATCTATATATAAAATTCAAGATGTTATTGACCCTTTAGGACAGACGGACATAGAAATTATAATTAACACTCCAGAACGTACAAAACTGATTCTATATCATACTTAGGTTACACAGATCTTTGTATGTTTTGATTTTTGGTGTTTAAATTTAAACTCAAGATTGTCTCTGAATACTGGCTTTACTTTTTTAAGCTAAAATTCCATACAGTTAGGAATAGAATCGAATAGAATAGAATATTTTTTATTCAATATAGATGACATGTGTAATTCTTATTGAAAGTCATTTTTTACTTTACCACTGGTTCGAAAAAAACCCTCTGTCTGGGTTGCCATATCTCACGATTTGTCCTGAGATTTCAGGATTTTTAGAATTTTCAATACAATGCAGCTTACATTTTAAAGATCTCTTCAATAAAAAGTTAAACAAATTAATATAATCTTCCTTTGGCAATAATTGCACAATTAAAATCAAAACTTATTTATCCAAGTAGGTACTTATACAGTTTTATCATACTTAATATGTGAAGATACCTTTTTAAGTAAGGTTTTTTTCTTTAAGTATTGATTTATATAATGCCCCACATGTTAAACTCTTCAAATTATATTGAATTAAAAGTATAGCTCGAACTGAAGTTACCATTAGTTGGTTTCTTTCATTCGACCATTGTGCCCCCATAATAGAAAAAATTCTTTCTACATTTGCATTCTGGGCAGTAATTGCAAATATATATTGACAAACACGCATTATCTCTGGTAATCGTGAAATACTTATTATTGTCTTAAAAACGGTTAAAGCATGGTATTGAGTATTTCATTTTAAATAAAGATTGATTGATGATGATTTATTTGAGTATGGTTAAAACAGTCAATCTTCGCAATGGGGTGGAACTAAGTTGTGTGCGGCACTGCCTGTCATAAGGGCGGTGCCCCCGTCTATGATATCATGACTTTTTTTAAATTGTTAAGTATGTAGGAGAGATATTTCTCAAACTGTAAAAAAAAACTCAGGATTTAGAAATGGAAATCAGACCTTTTCTCCGGACTTTTGATTTTTTCATCTGGTAACCCTACATACAGTATCAAAATTGTACTTTATATCGTATAATAACCGATATCAAGAGAGGATTTTAAGCTTAACCTCAAATTCCACAATGTCTGTTTGTCTGTCAATTAGATTACGGTCACACTGACACTGACCCTATCCGGTAAATACCAGAAGCTGTCATATGCGCAGGATAGCATTTGCGCACTAATTCGTCCTCGGCGTTCTTTGTGTGGTTCGATAAGCGGAACAATCCAAAACTTTATAGTTCTAGAGATAAGGCGGTATTGGCTTATTAGATAGTTAGACAGACGATTATAATGTGAATATATTTTGTCATTGTTGAATATTATTTAAGGTAATATTACTTAACTACAAATATAAACTTTACTATAATATTTAAAAACGACTTAATTTAAATAATAAATTTCTCTCGGCTACTTTAGACATACAAACAGCCAATCGAAGTCCAATGGTGAACAATAGGCCTCATACATAAATTGTCTAACAGGGAGAATATTTGCGATATTTGCCATATTTGGCCGGCGATTTACCAACCATTACATATTTATAGTTTTTTTACTATTGTGAATTGTTATCATGAAGATGCATCTGCCCAACATAGGTTTCAGTTTTCCTCTGTATTATTTTAGTTTTACAACATACATAGGGCATCATAGAGAGGTGGATTCTATTTCGCCGTCACTATACCTACGGCGTTAAAATGTAAAGTAAATATTCGAAGTATATAATATATCATTACTTACCATAAATGTAGAGTGCGTTAGACACTTAATATTCATGTCATTAAAACCACTAAAACAAGCAAACGTGCGCAATTTGCATACAATGCGCTGATAACAAACCCGCGTCCTTTTTTTAATTAATAAAAACATGCTACGATAGTACAAAAGACTATGAGAAAGGTTAACTTCCGTGAGAACAGCCATGGAGACTTGTTGTTATTCTGTATATAATGATTTAAAAAGGCTTGATGTTATCCGCGGTGTCTCTGAACAGCGGTGTACAATTACAACAACTTGTGTGCTGTGTGGTGCCGGCGTAATACAAACCATTACCTCATTTCGTCCCGTGAGTGTCGTAAGACAAGATTATCGCAAATATCTATGCTTAATGCTGCTATGTTTCGTATGATGAGTGTAGAGAACCGGAAAACCGGAAACCTTTTCTACTAAACATGTGGCATTCCATCCCCTCACTGCATTTTTATTCTTAAGCGAAGACAGATATCTGTCTATGGTAGGCGTGTAGACCGAATCATCCACTTACTATCAAGTGGACTGTGTGCTCGTTTGTCACCCTTATTCTATAACTGATACCGTTACCGTTACAGCCTATTAAAGGCCACTGCTGAACATATGCCATAGATTGCCTCATAGGGAGGATATTTGCCATAGTCGCCACGCTAGACAAGCGGGTTGGTAACCGGTTTTATTTTATTTTTAGTTGTTATTTGGAAAACGCTACTGCCCATCCCCTGATTTGTTTCTCTCTGTCGCCTCTTACGACACCCACGGGATGATATGTGGCAGTGGTTATTCTTACACCGCCCCTATTTTATAAAAAAATCATAAAATCTTATGACTTTCGATAATTCCTCAATCCGACTGGCAAGCATGTTGATTATGAAAAATCCTATAAGGTCAAGCAGTAGATTTCTATGGGCTGAAGAAGAAGAAACAACTAACGCTATAGAAAACCTTTTTATAATTCCAAACAAATGTTTGGAGGAATATTTGGGCTCCTAGAGCTTGTTTAGCTTAGTTTTAAGTAATTGATTGAAGAACTTATAAACTTGAATATTACTCAATTTCATTAGTGGTAAAATTAAAGACTCAGCTTAACATTCTAATATTTATAATACACCACTGATATACAAAATAATACACACATCAACACTGTCTAGGAAAATTTCACTTCACGTTTATTAACATAACTTAGTACTCACTCTATACCGTATGTCCCTCTGTAAAGTGCAACCCCGAAAGGAGGTGAAACTAGACCATAAGTTATCGACTAACGATTTAAAAATATATATATATTTTACTTTTTATTGACGAATTAAGATTTTTTATCTTATGTAGACTCTATGTACAAAAAACGATTTCTTCCAAAGAAGTGGGTCGATTACTTTACAATAAAAAAAATATTATGCCATGTACTTGGCGGAAAGGATAAAATAACAATTAGCTCGCAAAAAAGTGGCATCATGATTTTAACTTTGCTTTTCGTAAAAAAAATCTATTTTTTATGACTGTCTCCATCTCTAATCTCCAATTGTCTCAGAATTATGCCCCCAATACCAGGAAATTTTATGATATATTATTATTTTCCACCATATTGCCTTTCAAATTAAAAAAAAATCTACGCTGTTACCCAAAAAATACGCTGGCTAAGAGTCTTTGTTTTATAATAAGGGTGACAAACGAGCACACAGTCCACCTGATGGTAAGTAGTTGCTGTGGCCCATAGATATCTACATTTATCCTCGATTACGAACTGCGTATTTTAATATAATAATGTTTCAAGCACTTCCTTGTAGTTTCTTTTCTTTCTCTTCTTTTAAGAAATAAAGTGAAAAAAGTTAAATGCCAGAGTAGTGATATATTTGTACAAACCAAGAGGTTACTTTTTACAAATGGAATATTAAAAAAGTTGTTCGTTCGATTAAGTAGTCAGCTTTAGTAGTAATATTTTAGTAGTCAATCTTTAATTATTAAAATACAAACCGATAACTGACAACAATTTAATTTTAACATTCAACAAATCCATCACGACAAGAGAACTAACGGATAAACGGTTCAAAGCACTTTAAGCGAGCAATTCATAGAAATAAACGAGCATTACGGCAACAATGCGCAAGAAATTGGACAATATCAAGTGGATGCATCGTTCATGTGAAGCTTTACAAGTGCAACCTTTGTTTGTTATTGTGTAACGTGATGTAACGTCTAGCTGCGCGTGTGAATAACGTTTTTTCAGCAAACATTTACATTTTTTTTAAAAGAATGTACGCCAAAAACAATATACCAATGTAGGTCACGACATGTGGTTTTCTCCTATTAAATCTTATGTCCAGTGGATACTAAACAATGAACTGTCCTTTACCTAATACAGCAAATTGCGACTGTCATTCATTGCACGCTTCATAACGCGAAGCGTTATTTTATAGTGCTTTGCTCTGACACGTCAAGGTCAAGCAATTTCGTGTTCTTAAAATGCCTTTATCATAATTCATAACCATAATGCTGTTATACGATAATATGAGTAGCCGTATATCAAGAAAACACTTAATTTTGTATTTTCTAAAAAATCATTTTATATTGCTACTTTGAAAAAAAAAAACGGTTTGAAAATACTTTTACGTG